TTAAAGTTACAGTGGCACTGAAAAAAGTGACTTATGACCATTTTTCACACTTACAACTGTTGCAGCATCCCCACAGTCATGAGAGGCCAGGTGAGGAGATGTGTGCCTCGATGTCAGTGATATTGAGTTGGCCACACCCAGCCAATAACATGACCACCAAGCCATGTCCACCCGGTCACATGACCACCAAGCCACACCCACCACCTAAGCCACGCCCACAGAACCGGTTGTTAAAAAATTTGAATCCCACCCCTGATCTTCCCCCCTCAAAATGGAAGCTTCAGAAATAGTTCACAGATTTGGAATATCTTATTTTCTGTTGATTTATTTGTAACGTAGTGCAAATTAACAGATTCATTATATAGAACTACATGATACAACACTGCAGGTCAGGATGATGTATATATTTAGAATTTGCTTTGGATTTTTTTAAAAAATATGATCAGATTTTCAATTTCTGGTCTCTCTTCTTGTTGTTCAACTGCCTACACATGCCTGTAGAGTTTCTAAGTCATCCAGGTCATGTTGAACCAAACGTACTTTTTTTCCCAGAAGGCAACTCCACTGTGTTTTTTCTTTGAAGGCATTTCGCTTCTTATCCAAAAAGCTTCTTCAGCTCTGACAGGATGGTGGGGAATGGAAGGATTTTTGCAGACAGCTGATCATTTGCATTCTTTCAGAGAGTTGTTGAAGCACTTGGAGGTTTATCTGTGTCCTCAGGGCCACCTGAGTTGTTCTCCTGGTTCCTGTAGTCTGCAATTTTTTTCCCTCTGGGAATCCCTTCCTACTCCCACATTATTCAAAGGATGTTCATCCCAAATTGTACAACTAAAAATCTGTAGAGCTTCTCAGACATCCAGATCATGGTTGTCCCCAAGGTGTTTTTTCAGGAGGCAACTGGACTTTGAGGTGTTTTTTTCTTTGAAGATGTTTTGCTTCTCATCCAAGAAGTGTCTTCAAAGAAAAAACCAAGGAAGTCCAGTTGCCTCCTGAAAAAGCACTTTTGGGATGCCTACACATACCTTCTTCGGTCTGGCATTGGTCTACAGCTCTCTTGGTCATGAACAATAATCTAACAAGTATCCAGGGAGATTATGGTGAGAAAAATTAAGGATGCTTAGCTTTTTGGTATGACAGAGCAATTGTCCCAACTAGCAATTGTACTCAAATTGGAACTTAGGCAAGATTCTGAAGTTTGCAAAAATTACAGAAATGTTTATAGGCTGCTAGTAATTCACCATTGAAAATAGTGATGTATGATATGGTAATAAATGCATTGTAACACGTCACCCTGCCAGCAAAAGTGCATATAGGCTATGGTTTTCCCAATTGTAATGTATGGCTGTGAAAGCTGGACCATAAGAAAGGCTGACCACAAAAGAATCGAGGCCTTTGAACTATGGTGCTGCAGAAGACTCCTGCAAGTCCCTTGGACTGCAAGGTGATCAAACCAGTCAGTCCTTGAGGAGATCAACCCCTACTGCTCTTTAGTAGGCCAGATCCTAAAGATGAAACTCCAATACTTTGGCCACCTAATGAGAAGGAAAGACTCATGGAGAAGATGTTGGGAATGCTGGGAAAGATTGAGGAGGGCAAAAGAAGAAGGGGACAACAGAGGATGAGGTGGCTGGATGGAGTCGCTGAAGCAGTTGGCGTAGGCTTAAATGGACTCCGGGGGATCGTAGAGGACAGGAAGGCCTGGAGGAACGTTGTCCATGGAGTCACGATGGGTCGGACACGACTTTGCAACTAACAACAACACGTGGATTGTGTTTCACATGGCTAAATTATAACTATGTATTGTTTATGATTTTAATAATGTTTCAAAATCATTTTAGCTTTAGTAAAAATTGTAACATTTGCTCTTTTGGGCTCAGCAATCACAAGGGTGATCGATGTAAAGGAAGCAGGGTATCTTGTTACAGAGGAAGCATTAGAAGCACATGCACAAATAGACCTGTGTGATAGATATTCATACCTATGCAGATTGAAATACCTTGAGGTCAGTGGGGACAGAAGGATGAAACCTGATTTACTGTTTGCATGGAGATACTTAAAATTATTTTATAAGACACCCTAAACAGTCAACAGAAGAACAAATCATGACAAACATTTAGAGAGGACAAAGAGCAAAGAGGAAGAACAGTTGGAACATATTTTGAAAGGAGAACAGAAACATTTGTCCTGTCCTTTGTTTTGCTCTGGGGGGAATTCAGATATTTGGAAGGTGTAATAGCTAGGAAATCATAGGAAGACCTCTTAGCCTCTAACCCTTTCCTTTTTTTAGAGGATTTCTCATTATGTAGGACTTGTGATCATGGCTGCCATTCTGTAATTGGCCTTTTGTGAAAATATAACAATGCAACACCTGCATTTTTGACTGGTATATTCTAGACTTGGTAAGGAGGGATGGGAAAGGCTGGGAATGGCTGCAGTCCCTGGGACAAGCATATATAGTGGCAAATTATGGGTTATTATAGAACTTATTACGTACGTTACATATATAAGACTGTTTTGCTCCTTGGAGGGAAAAAGCCTTATAAAATACAAGTAAGACTAAGGCTTTGTCAAGGATCTCTGCCTTAGCAGCCTGCCTTACAATAGCCAAGGACAAACAGGGAAGGGTTATGTTGGAGTAATGGATGTAATAGATGAGCTGCCAACTATTCCTGCTGTGGCAATTTTGAGAGGATGATGGTTCTGCACCACCCTATTTGCAGTTGTGATGAGCTTTAGACATCTCCCATTATTTATTGCACAAGCTCAGGAAATAGCAGAGGCCAGCCAAACCAAATGAACTGGGCATAGGGAGTGTGAGGCATAAAATACCCTCTGCTTAAAGAAAAAAAAAGATTATAAAGAAGAGGGGGAAAAGGGGAAAATGATTTTTAATTAATACTTGACTCAGTGTTCTAATTTCCTTTTCAGCTTTTGAGATTAGGACAGCTGAGAAGTTTAAATAAACCAGTGTTGTGCTACAGATTTCATTTTCCCAAAGTGAGCTTTTTTCTCACGATTTTAGCCAAGAAACTGGGAAATTAAGTTTGATGCCAATACTGGTTATCTTTATTTAATGAAAGAGTAGAAAAATATAAATTGCTTTCATTCCGCTTTTGAAATGTAAAATGGATGAATGGGCTGCCAACCAAAAATTAGCAAATGTTTGTTACAATATGAAATGCATAAGAACTAGTTAGTTAGTCAAAAAAAACCACTGAACTGATTTTTTTAAAAAAATCTCTGTGTAAAATAAAGCAACCCTTTGACAAATTATGATGAAATGCTACACACTGCCTATCTGTGGTGGTGCACTGGTTAGAATGCAGTATTGCAGGCTAATTCCACTGGCTGCCAGAGGTTCAATCCTGACCGGCTCAAGGTTGATTCATCCTTCTATCCTTCCAAGGTCGGTAAAATGAGGATCCAGATTCTTGGTGGCAATATGTTGTCTCTGTAAACTGCTTAGAGAGAGCTATAAAACACTGTGAAGCGGTATATAAGTCCAAGTGCTATAGCTACCCTACAAAACCTAAGAACAATTGATAGGAAGTACAATCTGATGTCCTTCAAAATGTATGCTTCAATCCCTAAATGGAATATTCAGCTGCTTAGGATAAAAGGATTTGCTTGAGATCTTCTGATCGCTCCAAACAGACTAATTCCATTACAAGGAGGGACTTTACTTTACTCTTGGATCTTCATGATTTACAAAAACAAAATAATGTATGTAAGATATACAAGTATACTCTCATGTGCATAATTTATTTAGCTATAAAATTAATGTGGCAAGACTATTTTAGCATTTGCTTTAAAAATATACACACTACAGAAAACTCCACAGAATGATCAAATTTATAAATTAATTACAATATCAAAAATGTACAAAATAATTCGTCTGCTACTCTCTAGCTATTTCCCCAGCTTTCTTTTCTTTCATTTTAATATGCAGAAGTAGCAAGAAACAGTATTTTGTGGAATGATGTAAGTTGGCTGGCTAATCAAGCTTTTCTGAATACTTGTTCGTAAGTGGGGATGTGAATAAAATGAGAAATGTATTTTTTCCCCAAACTCAGAACCAAATGATCCTCCTTAAAATATTCCATTACAGTGTTCAATCAGAACAAAACTGAAATATTTACATTTTGCTTTGAGCTCAGAATATTCGATATTGTCTATTTTGAAGTCAGAACAAGTTGTTATAAGGTTGCAGTGGTTTGTCCAAGGTTATATTTTATGATCAGAATATTCATCATATGACAATTCAAAGTACCCAAGTTTTTGTTTTAAGGCTGGACCAATTTTGCATTGCCTTAATCTTGAAAGAGGAGTCTCAGTGTGGTTCAGTTTTATTTCAAGCTTGGAACACCTAAATGGCCGTTTTCAGCTCAGAACATTTGTGAAGCCCTACTTGTTAACATTTGTTGAAAGATAATTTCATAAAAGAATCAGTTATGTGATAGGAAATGCACAGGCAGAAAATTGCTCTTTTCTAAAAGCCCTTATGTGGAGCTCTAGCTTTTCTCAGAAGAACTCCACAGTGCTAAACCAATGAGAACGAAGGTTAAAAACAATCTGGGATAGATTTTATTATTTAAAAAGAAAAAAAATGGTATAACGACCTCAACCTTGGAGGTTTAAATTTTCACTTTTATCAATCAAGTTTTGATTTGTATCAGTTAAGACATCACATTTAAATAAACACATTCCAACAGTAAAACAAGGTCCACTGATTTCAGCCACTGCCAAAGCACCTTTTATACAATTAAAATGCCCAAATTAATCACATAACTCACTCTCTCAAGTGTTCCATTCAGAGAGACAATTTCAATAGCAGCTTTCCCAAGAATTATGATTTTTCTGTGTTCCTTGTCCAATATCATTCAACCCATCCCTTCCAAGAACGGAATTCCAAGTGCTCAAAGTTTTGCAGACAAGCTGGCATCAGTCCTCTGCTACTAGACAAAAGTGCCTTCAATGACTTTGGTTTGTTTTTTTTAAAAAAAACATCCTTCCCTTTGGAAAATGATTCGGCTGCAGACTATTGCATGGAAAGAACAGAAGCAAACAGTCTAGTGCCAACACATGGCACAAGCCAGTTCTATACTGTTTGGGATAACGTCCTTCTATCTTCCAGAGATTTATTCCAGAGACGGCGCAGTGAAGGCAATCTGATTTTATCCATATTCTTGCTGTAAACATTGAGAAATATGCCAAGGATAACCAATAAACCCGACCACACGTACCTAAAAGGGGTGGGCGAAAGAAAAAGAATCATATTAGCAACTGTACGTGTAACAGTCCAATACGTTAAGATTCATGCAGGAAGCAAAACAGCCACCGTAGAAGTGAAATGAGTTATAGAGCATACGGATAGTCCTCAACTTACAACAATTCATTTAGTGTTCACCGTTCATTCACCGTTCAAAGTTACAGCGGCACTGGAAAAAAAGTGACTTAGGACCATTTTGTTGCATCCCGTGTGTGTGTGTGTGTGTGTGTGTGTGTGTGTGTGAACAAAATTAAGATGCTTGGCAACTGACTCCTATTTATGACGGCTGCAGTGTCCTCAGATCACGTGATTCCCTTTTGCGACCTTCTGACGAGCAAAGTCAATGAGGAAGCCAGATTCAGTTAACCACCGTGTTACTAACTTAAACAACTTCAATGATTTCACTTAACAGCTGTGGCAGGAAATGTAACCCAATGTCTCATTTAACAACATAAACGTTGGCCTCAATTGTGGTTGTACGTTGAGGTCTACCTGTATTTATTTTATATATTATAAAAAAGAATAGCTTAGATACTTTTATATTGTTTTCCTTCACTTCTTTATAACAAAAATAATTTCCATTGTTTCAAATAAGATAATTTTCATAATGAAACCAAGGTTTGTCAAACTTAGGGTTTCATCAGAAAGAGGGCGGTGGGGAGTAGTCTCTGCCACAACTTAGCCACTCACTGATGTTTATATCACCTATCTGTTCATATGACCTCTCGATAGATATAACTGATGTTGTGATCTAAAATACCTTGAAAGATCCAGGTTACCAAAGCTGAGATTCGCATAAAACAGATAACCTTTTAAGACACATTGTTCTACCTCTCTACATTCAGAATGCAGACTGATCTTGGAACTTAACCAGATGATGACGTAGGACAGAATTACTTCCTGCTCTGTTGCAGCAGTCTCGGTTTCAACACAGAACAAGAGACCACGAGAGGTGGAAGAGAGGTGGAAGAATTCAGGTTTATTTGCGCAAAGCGTTCAGAGCATTAACATGACAAATTCTGAACCCCCATTACATGCTGGGGTTAGTTCTTTTATACTTTATGATGATTTCAGCCCAAGCCTGGGCGTTCACCTATAACCTATTTACCAAATATAGATTTTATGCTTACAAAATACCTAAAAACATATTTTGTCCTGGGAACAAAACATAGTGAAAGAGGATGTGGTAAAGAAGACAAGATGTTTGTAAGTATATTCTATCTTTTGCCATTATCTTACACTTGCGAAAAATGCTTCCATGACCTTCCCTTAATTGCAGCTTCCTTGTACTCAACTTTAAATACATTGTTACTTCCTCTAAATAGATTTCCTAATTCTTTAGCGTAACACAGACAGAGTTGCCCTCTGTCCCTATGACCTATAGATCAGAGAGTTATAATATGCTCAGGAGCTAGCTAACTTATATAAAATATATTCCTTCTCTGGTCCTTCTTCATTCCCCCCTTTGAAACTTCACCCAAATCGTAGATTTATTGTGTAGTTTCAGATTCCCGGGAAGGAGGACATAGGGGAAAGAGTTCCTCATAAACACCCACAGGTTCCCGTACCAAAAGAGCCATTACAAGAGGTCGGAGGAGACCATGTGGTATGTTTACATCGTGGCAGGGTGAAGTCTGTGCACATTGTGGGCTTTCCTACCTTATAGTTGAGACCCCCCTTTCCATCCTTACATTCCACATGGATGTTACACTTCTGGTCTCTATGAAGGGAGTTCAGGGTATGGGGTACCCGATTGCGGCGGACAGGGACCCATGGGGAACGGAGAAAGTAACATCTTATTGTTTCATTTTGTACACATTGCCAATATCGCGTCCCTTGGTACTCACATTGTGGGAGACTTGTGATATGGCAACCTGGAGGCCTAGTATTGGTATATGTAAAGTGTCTCCCAGTATTACGAACCAGGAAGCAATCAATGCATTGTTCCGTTTCCCTGGGGTTTATAATTGGGGGAGGGTCATCATAAAAAGGGTCAGGAGAATACCATTCCTCCAACTGCTCTATCTCTAGGGGTAAAGGATCATCCTGGGTTGGTCTTCCTCTTATCAGTGTTGAATAAAGATACAATGAATTAATCACCACACTTAACACCAGTAACATGGTTACAACCCAGACAGATGGCATAAGACCCCTTCAGATGCAAGCAGTTTCCCTTAGCCTTTGACTAGGCTCCATATCCTACTGTTTCCTCCCTCTCCCTTTTCCCAACTTATTAGGGAAGCCTGGCGCGAGACCTAAGCCGCCAGGGAAGACCCTCCGAACTAGAAGTAGTGGGGATTTGGTGGTCTTCGCCTCCCGTAGGTAGAGGGACAGCTTCCGGAGTGTCACCACTAGGGGAGGGCAATTCCTCTTCGTCTCCCGTAGGTAGAGGGACAGCTTCCGGAGTGTCACCACTAGGGGAGAGAGTCCTCTTCACCTTTTAAAGGTCAGTATAGGGGCCCTTCCATTTGGGAGACAATGTTTCCCGTCTCCAATCCTTAACCCAAACCTCCTGCCCTGGACGTATGTTGTGGGGGGAGGTTACCAAAACCTGAGGTTTACACGTTAACACATATTCCTGTAATTTATGGATAATTTCATTTAGGGCCTTGAGTTGTCTTAACCTAATAACATCAGATACATTTGTGGTGTCATGCATATCAAACCTAACCAAGTTAGGAACCCTGCCATACAATAATTCAAAAGGGGAGACCGAAATATCCCTGCGTGGTGCACAACGTATTGCCACCAGGGCTAGAGTCAAGGCATCAGTCCATTTGAGATGTGTCTCCTGGCATATCTTTGCCAGCTTGTCCTTAATTGTTCGATTGATTCTTTCCACCCGGCCCCCCGAAGGGGGGTGGAAACTACAATGTAATTTCCATGTAATACCTAGAACTTTTGCTAGCTGCTGTGTTGCCTTGTGAATAAACTCCGGACCATTGTCCGAAGAGATCCGGGAGGGTAACCCATACCTTGGTATTACAATATGAAGTAATGCTCGAGCAACCTCAGTGGCCTTCTTTGTACGTGTAGGTATACATTCTGGCCAGCCCGTATATGTGCAGACAATAACCAGCAGTGCATTATAAGGGCCACAACGAGGCATATCGGTGAAGTCCACCATCAAAGAGTCGAAGGGGTAACAGCCTCGGGGTTGGTGGCCCATTGGTGGCTGCGGGCCTTGCCTGGGGTTATTGGCTGCACATATTTCACAACGGGCACATACATTAGCTGCTATGCTGTTAACTCTATCTATATACACCTCCCTCCTAAGCGCCTTTGTGAGGGCAGTCTTACCTAGGTGCAATTGCTTATGTAGCTGACGTACAACATCCCAGGCCAAATGAGCAGGAATATACACCCTCTTGTCTGGTAAGACCCACCACTGGCCTTTTTGGTGTGCCTCGAGTGCCTTTAGCCGGTCCCTATCCTCCTCCGAGTAATGGGGTTGGGGATGAGCATCGGGCACCCATATGGCAAGATGCTTTTCAAGGGGAACAAAGTCTAATCGGGCTGCCTCACGTGCAAATTTGTCAGCTCTCTCATTCCCCCTTTGTATATCTGTCACCACCCTCTGGTGGCCCCGGCAGTGCATGACTGCTACTTTGCTCGGAGCCCACACACTGTCTAGTAACCGCAATATCTGGGGGCCGTACTTTATCTCTTTCCCCCCTGCAGTTATTAATCCCCTTTCTTTATACAGAGCTCCATGGACCTGGACTGTGAGGAAAGCGTATTTGGAATCCGTGTATATATTCACTGCCAGTCCCTGGGCTAGCTCTAGAGCCCGGGTGAGGGCATGTAGTTCAGCTAATTGGGCACTAGTTCCGGGAGGGAGTGGCTTTGCTTCCCAGACCTCATCCAGTGTGACCACCGCATATCCCGCTTTTCTCACTCCCTCTTGTATGTAGCTGGTACCATCAGTAAACAGAGTATAATCTGGGGCGGGAAGGGGAACATCCTTCAGGTCAGGACGACTAGCATAAGTTTCCTCAATAGTCTGAACACAATTGTGCTCTACTGCTATTTCAGGCTCAGGTAATAATGTGGCTGGATTTAATGTAGTAGACTGAGAGAGGGTAATCATAGGATTATGGGTCAGAAGGCCCTGGTATTTAAGCATCCGTGGGTTTGTTAACCACAAGTGGCCTTTCATCTCTAGAACTGACTTAAGGGCATGTGGTGTGTATATGTGCAATTGTTGACCAAAGGTTAGCTTATTTGCTTCCTGAGTCAAGATTGCTGTGCCAGCCACTGCTTTAAGGCAGGCTGGCCATCCCTTGGCTACATTATCTAGTTGCTTGGAGAGATATGCTACCGGCCGGTGCCATGTTCCCATCATCTGGGTGAGGACGCCTATTGCAACGTTTCGCTTAGTGTCAACAAACAACTGAAATGGTTTCTCCAAATCCGGGAGACCTAAACTGGGAGCTTGAAGGAGGGCTTGTTTAAGGGACTGAAAACTAGCTTCTTCCTCTTTACTCCAAAAGAGGGGGGCCCTTTCTGCCCCTTTCGTAGCTTCATAGAGCGGTTTTGCAATTAGGCTAAAGTTGGGAATCCAGATGCGGCAGAAACCAGCCGCACCCAGGAACCCTCGTAATTCTCTCCTGTTGGTTGGAACAGGAAGTTGACATATGGCCTCCTTCCGCTCGTGGCCCAACGTCCTCTTCCCTTGCTCAATGTCATAACCCAGATACCTGACCTTTTGCTGAACTAACTGTGCTTTCTTCCTAGAAGCTTTATAGCCCAAATCTTGCAGTAGTGAAAGTAAATCAGCTGTATTTTGCCAACACGCGTCCTCTGCATATCCTGTTACTAATAAATCATCCACATATTGTAAAACCACATCTGGGGCTGGTACGTGTAAAGCCTCCAGATCCCTGGCCAGAGCTGCACCGAAAAGTGTAGGTGAATTCTTAAATCCTTGAGGCAGCCTGGTCCAGGTATATTGCTGCTTCCTACCAGTATTAG